ATTTTGTCCTCCATATATTTCAATCCAAGAAAATACATTTTAATATTTCACATTAAAGGAAAAACTTCATTTGTTGTCTATAATAAATGAACATATAACGCACATAAACAAAATTAATTCAAAACATAAAAAAAAAAAAAAAAAACTTTTACATATTCCACATTTAAAGAAAATCTTTTTTGTTGTCTACAATACATGAGTCACTGCATCATGGAGTTTGAACACGCAATGGGAATCAGGAGACGTCACATGTGCACCGGCAGATTTTTAAAGGGTGCCTAGAGAAAACATCATCAGCTTCTTTGTCTTCAGGAATCCATTTGTTTGATGTGCATGTGGAATTCTGAACCGCTAATCTGTCTGTATATCTCAAATGTCCCACTTACTGTACATTTAAAAAGCACCTTAAACAGCTTCTTAAAAGTTCCCAGTTATGTCCACATTTTGACTAATTTTATTGATACAATGTATTCTGCCTGAATGTGTGCTAATGTGTTTCTTGCTTGATATTATATATTGTCATACTCTATTGTGTTGCATTATTTTATATGTTGTTGTCTTCCTGCCTCGGGACTAGAGGTGAAAATTAGCATTTATGCTATAACCTGGCCCATGTACAGTCTGTACAGAAATGTTAAGATTGTTCATTAATGTGCACTGTCCCGAATACATAAATAAACAAATAAAATAATAAATAAACAATGAAAATGATATGGATAGAGAAAGTGTGTTAAGGAGATGTGAAACGCCAGGTCCACGTTTTATTACCTTTGATGTATGGGAGTGGAGTATGCATGGCCAGTTCGCAAGAGCTGGTTGAGTTCACTGTGATTGTTTCAACCCTATCTTCTGACTCTGTAGCTTGCACTTGTTGGAGGCATGGTCAGAAGGTGAGTGTGGCTGCCCATGCCCCGTCTTCGAGAAGTCAGAGCTTGAAACGATGACCTTGCGGGAAGCCAAAAAGGATCTCAGGGAAGTCATTCCAACCAGGAGACAGCAGATGTCGAAGTCCTGAGACTCTTTGAGTGGATAAAGAGGAATCTGCTCCAGGTAGACTAGACAAACTTTTCCTCGAGGGTCATAATTGTTTTCCTCCCTTGAGCCTTCCATTTCTTCACGATCTCCATGAGGAAGTGTCGAGATCGTGGAGGAAATCATACTCAGCTCGTGGGTGAGCATGGGTATGTGGGATTGCCCTGGGTTGAAGAGACTTGTGAGTTATCTTTCTCCTGGATTGGCATCCTCACTGAAGGCTCCAGTCCTGCCCTCTAAGCCATGCTGGTTTACATCGCAGCTGGTGGGCAAAGCAGGCAGCTTGCATGTGTACCAGGCCGACTTACTGAAGTCCTGGAGCTCCGCCACATCACAGACCTTGTTCTCCGTGCCACCAAGCAGGCGGCTCGTGCCATTGGCCGCACTCTTGCTGATATGGTTGCCACAGAGCGACATCTGTGGTTGAACCTTGCAGGGCTCAACATATTTCCTTGATGCCCTGCACACATCTTCCGGGCTGTTGAGATGCTGGTTCAAAAGTTAACAATAATCCTTTGCTCACTTGGAGTAGGTTGTCCTTTGGAGCTGATGGCCTAGGTCTGGGTAGCAGTACCCTAGTCTGCCCCTACTTATTGGAAGCTGCTGGCAGACGCGGTGTTGCTGCGATCTACCTAGTCAGTTCTGCCCGTTTACAGGAAGTGCGTGCAGTATTGAGCTTCGGATGTCGTACCTCAGGCAATTTAGCCCTTGGTCACATGTTGCGCTGTATGGCAATCTTTAGCTATATCCTAGCTCATTGGAGAATTTCACAGCATAGTGAGCAGGCATTTGTTCAGTATGGTGTAGTGGGTATTAACCCTCTGGGGACCAGAAACGCGCCGGCGCGTTTTGCTCGTTTTTTTTCACATAGCAGAAAAATAGACTTAAAGTACTACCATCATTTCTGTTCATATAGAGTTAAGAAATATGAGAAAATAATCTGTTAAATGTCTACTTTTTTATGTGCCCACATACAATCGAAATAAAATATTGTGCTTTTGTAAAATAAAGAAAATAAACAGGGTGTGCGTTCTGCCTCTCCGTCACCGTGAACTTTTTTTCTGGAGCACGTCTCTAATCTTCAACACAACTCAGCTAATACTATTCACCCAGCCATAAGCAATATATCTTTTAAATCATTTGAGTTTGTACTTTTAAATGATCCGATTCAAAACTAAAATTATTATTCTCCGTTTATGTCATCTATATAAAAAGAGAGACGTGTCAGCCCGTCTCATTATCGTTCTCTCAGCTGATTATCTCTGGTAATGTGACACGCCCACGGAGAGCACGCGCTATTCAAACGCAAATATGTGAAGCAACACATTGAGACGCGTTAACGCCCATAAACTCTGAAAACACACATTATTTTTTAGTCAGATTAATCTACTGTCGTCTTGCGCGGCTATATGAGGAACAATCCTGGGACATTTACCACTGGGTTTATTTTCACTTCGAGGATGAACAGATTCAGCTGAGAAGTAAGTGTTTTTTGCAAGTGCTTTGTTCTAATCGCGATATAGAATAACGTAGTGTCTGTAAACGGAAAAATAGCGTACTGTTAAATATGAATCATGTTTGTGTGTGTGTGTGTGTGAATGAATGAATGAATGAACGCACAGATACGCACTGTTACAGACTAAATAACAGACAACATTTCGTTGACTCGTTTTGGATAAAGTTTTTACTCTAAAATAGACATCAAATAAGCCTTTTTTTAGGAGTTTCTGCTCATATGTTAAATATATAGTATGTTTTGTCAATAAACTAATCAACTAAGATGTTATAGTGTTTGTTCAAGCTATATCAGAATAATGAATCCTCAACTTTGAAATATGTATGATCAAACTAAGACATTTATGGAGAAAGACAATTTTCTTTTCAAGATGTTTCCAACTCTAACTTTGAACTTTGAACTGAAATAAAACCATGTCTATATGGTGAAGGGTGTGTGATAGAAGTGTCCAGACGTATGCACCCTGTATTTTCCTTATATAAATCCAAACAATCTAAAAGCCATTCTTTTTTAAATCTTCTTTGTTTTCTTTGTCTAAGGCTTTGTGCAAGGCTCCTGTAATGATATGGCCTGATAGCACCTAATAGGGCCATTATGGGGAGGGTCTTTGTCTTTCTCAGGTGTGGAATGCCACACATATTAATGAGAGATCACGCCTCCTGCATAAAGCTTTCTCAAACAAAACACGTCATTAAAAATGTAAAAGACTTTATTGACTTATCTGAATGAGTAGTCAGGATGATTCTCACATATTTTGGAGCAAATATTCTAGGCTATGTGATACAATTTTCAAAAGTCTTGTGAAGAAATAATCAATATGTGTTTTGTGGTCTTATTTCAGCAACTTTCATTTTTATTTTTTTTCAATAACCACGCATAAACATTATTCTATTAAAAATACAAACATGTACATACATGTTGCTCAGATATCATGGTAGCCAAGTTTGTGCTATATAGAGTGAATTTACACCTTTGCCATTAACATGTTTATAAATAACTGAAAAAAGCACAAATGTCAGTGCATGTCAAAACATCCCAAGGGCCCCAAAAACACTCTGGTCCCCAGAGGGTTAACGTTCCCATAGTTTCCACTTCGAAAGGGAACGTCTCGGTTACGTATGTAACCCAGTTCCCTGAGAAGGGAAATGAGACACTGCATTGTGTTGTCATACTTCCGGCATGTCTGAACGTCTTCCTTCAGACAATAAGAAGTTGATGACATTTTCTCTGGGTGCCCTCTTATGCCCTGCCGGAGCGCCTGTCCCGTCACCTGACTGCGATAGCCAATCTAGATTGCCGTATAACAAAAGTGCTTTAGACACAAGCTCACGCGGAGCTTTCCCATAGCATCAACTCCATGACGCAGTGACTTGTTCCCCTTCTCAGGGAAACGTTCATGTATTGTAGACAACAAATAAAGGTTTTCTTTAAATTTGAAATATGTAAACATACTTTTTATTAATGTTTTGAACAAAATTGTATTTTTCATTTAAATTTAATTAAAAGTAATTTTGTTCTGTGCTTTTGTAAAAAAAGAAAATCAAAGTATCACTATTTAGGTATTTAATTTTTAGTTTTAGCTTTAGTTCAGTTTTAGTTTTATTTATTTCCAGTTAGTAATTCAGTTATTGTTGCCAAGGCAACAATTCTAAATGTCATTTAGCAAGTTTTTCACTTATTATTTTCAGCTTTATTTCAATTAACAAAAATGTTTTAATAGTTTTAATTAACAATAATAACATTGATACCAAATGCCTGTGGACTGAGTCTGGTCAATGTAAACAGTATTTTGTGGATAGTAATGAGTCATGGCTCTATCTGGTATCTGGTATCAGCTATGCAAGATGGTTAAAGAAATTGACTGTAAAAGGTTTACCATATTTTTTCTTGGTGAGGTCAAACGTCGTGCATCCAATCAAACTCTACAGTATCCTACAGTATCATCTGTCGTTTAGTACAAGCTAGCCAAATTCGGTAGATGCCAACATGGACAGGTTGCATGGCACGCTCTGATGTTCGAAAACAGTGAAAAACTACACAAAAAATATTATAATAATATGGGCAGTTGCACGATTTACTGAAGTCTCTCTTACTGAAATCTCCTTGATATATTTATGAATTTAGTAGCTATGCATTTCTCATGTTCAGCAGCCTATAATACAATATTTGGCCCATTGTTTGTTTCATGTGTTAGGCTGATAAATCACACCTCTGCTGTTGTTTATGCATTTACAAAATTGTTAATTTTCTTATTCAGCCATGTCTTTTTAATAATTTTAAACACTGTTGGGTTTACAGTATATGGTTCAGAGCAATATTAATGTCAAACAATTTTGGTACATTGTTGGGTTGCCACACTATGTCCAATGTAAAACCTGTATTCAGTAGTTCAGGAAAAGCAAAAAACTAGAAGATGAGAAGTGTTTTCAGCCAGGAAATGTAATACACTCACCGCGACTGCCTCGAGCACTTGTTTAACTGCGTCAGCAGCGTCTCGTTCGCTGTAGTAGCCCTTCTCCACCACCCTGAAAAATGGAAGGCACCATTTGGTCTCCAGTGTAACTCCATATTGTGCGTAAAAAAGCTGGCTGACTTTTTTTTCTCTCCAATTTTCACTTCATCATTTTCCAGCCTTAGAGTGAGTCAACCACACCTCAGCACACAAAATGAATGGAGACGTTTCTATTGATTGTCCTTATGAAGAGGCTTTTCTTTTAAATGACTCATGTTGACAGCTGTATGGAAACGGGAAATAAGATAATCCTGAATGAGGATAAAATGGAGTGAATAACAGTAAAATCAGTGGGTTTCACAGTCACAAATGTTCCTCTATTAAAGTCTAATTCTGCTAATTGATTAGTTCATGACTGCAGACATGCACCTGTTATTTTGTAACAGATGATGAAGCTAAATTCAGGTCTTACAGTTTTTACTAGAAGCCTTTTACTAGACCAACTAGATTTTAACATTTTCTGAAGAACATTTTCTTGCCAGGGCATTGCTATATGTCCCTGCTAAAGTTTGCTAATATGTTGTATTTCTACCTGATTTAACCCCCCAGTTTTGTTGGTATAAAATAATTTAGGTCGATTCAGTGATGTTAAACAACATTTTTGATTTTAATAAAACCCTGTTAATTTAAATTACCAAGGTTACCACTTTTTCAGTGTGTTTTGTCCCATGCTGCTATGCAGGCCCCACTTGTCCTGTTTTACTTTAAATACTCTTATTATATTCATATACTTTTAATATTTTTTACACAAAGACAAATTAAAGCCTATTATAGAACCATATTATTTTGTTTGCATTTAAGTATTATTTTTATATGACACTTAAACAATGATATTTTTTTAAATGTTAAATAAGCTTCATTTCCTTTGCTCTCTCCTCTCTCTCTCGATATATATATATATATATATATATATATATTCATTTTCAGAGGAGATGTGACTTTAAAAAATGTTTTCATAAAGTTTTCCATTAAAATCGAGTCGAGTAAGTGTTTTTTTCCACCCATTTTATCACTCACTAAAAATTTAAATGTTTGCTTGCTTTGAAAAGTAATCACACCTCTCCTCAACAAGGTATCATATCTGCAGCAAAAACAAGTTAGAGTTAGGGCTTTTCCATAACCACTAAGTATGAGCATTAGAAATAGTGATGCTTGCTTTAGCAAACACCATTAATTCAAGTTCTGGGAAAAAGTGTCAATGCACAGCATGGAGTTCACAACTTAATCAGCCATTATTAGCTTATAGCACTTTAGCCCCATGGTGAACTGACCTGTCAAATAATTCTCCGCCGGTAACAAGTTCTAACACGAGACTAATCTCCGCAGGGGTCTCAAAGATCTCCTTCAGTTTGATCTGACAGAAAATGGAATGAAAAAAAGAGAGAATGTTTTACTGGAGGAATTCAAAAACATCAAATGATTAATTATTGATAGTCTTCGGTAGCTATAATGTCTGACTAACATTTGCATAATCAGACCTTACTAAATCAAACACAGACAGTACTGCAGAGACATCTAAGCGAGTGTTCTTGTATATTTATGCATATTTTAGGCTGTGTAACTACCATAGGACACAAGTAGACAAGGCCCTGGATTTTTCCCCTTTTGACTTACTATATTTGGGTGAGAGAGGCGCAATAATACACCTATCTCCGTTCGTACAATCTTCTTGTCAACCTGCAAGAACAACCAAGATATTGTCTGAGTACAAAGTGAAAAAGGTGCACACTTATGAAGCCATTACAATCAGGTGAAGTGGAGTAGCAACATCAGCTCAGTACAGAGAGAAAAACTCAAAAATCAAAGAGTAAATCAAACAATTTTCCACATTTAAAGGGAATAAATATTCTGCTATCATTTACTCACCCGCATGTCACACAAAACTTGTATTTTAAAGAAAACCTTTCTTTTCATATTCTTACACTTGTTCTATTTTTTCCATTTCAACCATGTTTAGTAGGCCTAGTTCTTACTGTAACTTGACACTACATTTATGCAGCAACTTAACAATGCATTGCCATAACACAATATATAGCATCATAATATAATTGCATATGCATTAGAGAGGCTTAAGATAGCATTAGTATTCCCTACACAGACGCAAGAAAGCGCAAATGATGATATGTTACAAATGGCAAGGTATGTGGAGTACGGCTCTGACAACAACACTGGCTGACAGCAATTTTTACCCATCATGCATCAGAGTGATGTAGAGAAATGGAAGACAACAGCAGTGAGGTCTTTAAGATCTTAGCAGCTGGAAGGAAGTCCTGACCAGAAACTCCTTGGCTATACGAGGCTGAACAAAGGCAAGAGAACAAAGCATGGTAACGTGGAGTGAAATCTGTCTTACTGTTTTTTTCAGCATTTTCACAGCATAGTGCTTCTGGGTGCCTTTCTGATGGCATCGGAACACCACTGATGTGGCTCCCCTGCAAGAGAGAAGAATAGCAAATGACTCATACATTGACTGTATCCCATACATTAATATTTACCACTATAAAATGCCGTTCAAATGTTTGGGGTCAGAAGGATTTTAAAATGTTTTTTAAGTAGTTTATACTCACCAAAGCTGCATTTAAACAGTAAAAATTGTGATGATGTGAAATATTATTATTAAAATGTATTTATGTCTGTGATGGCAACGCTGAATTTTTTGCAGTCATTACTAGTTTTCAGTGTCACGTGATCATTCAGAAATTATTAAAATATGCTGATTTGGTGCTCAAGAAACATTTACACATTATTATTATCAATGATGAAAACGTTTTTTGGAAACCATGTTTCATTTGTTCAGGATTCTTTAATGAGTAGCCTTTAGACCAGCATTTTTAAAGTCGAAATAATTTATATCAGTGTAAAAGTCTTGATGCATTCATTTAATGCATCCTTGCTGAATAAAAGTATTAATTTCTGTTAAAAAAAAATCTTAACTGACTCAAAACTTTTGAACTTTATTGTATGTTGGGAGACATACATATAAACTGAAAATTAAACAAAACTTTCAGGTTTAAAACATGTTAAGCAGCATCTGTGACATGCTGTCTGGTATCAGACACAATGTGTGTGTTTACATGTACAGCAAAATAACTCTCAAATATCAGAGATCATATTTTTATTAAAGCATTGAAAGTGTTTCTTCCACACAAAAATGTGCATCTGGGACTACTTTTCTAGGTGGATGAACATGTAAACAATAATTTGCCATCCCCACAGTCAAAAAATGACAATATTAAGTTTAATATTAATACCACCAGTTTCGAAATTATAGCAATTCGAATTTATATATTTTAAATTCTAACCTCGTCCCCTAATCAGAAAACCTACTTTATATTATCTTACTCCTTGTAGTGCCATACATTTTGATTTGCAAAAATTGTACCTTGTACAACAGCTTGTCAACTGAGGAAGTACCATTAAAAAGACAACTTTGTACAAAAACAAAAAGGAATACATCTTTCAAGCTCTTTAAGTGAGCCATTTAGCAACTAGTAACTAACTATGGCACACATATAGAAGTGTTTGCTAAGGCGTGTATTACTATTGCTCATACTTAGTATTAAGTATATGGTTCATGATTAGACTAAGGGCCAGATTTACTAACAGCTTGCGCCAGTGCAAAACCCTCTTTTGGCGTTAAAAAACGACTGTCAGGATTTACTAAAGACACGCAGTGAAAAATTAACGCTGAAAATGCGTGGACGGTTATTTCCACTCCCATCAGCGCTTTTTTGGAATTGTGATCTCACACTAATTTGCCCTGTTAATTAAATCTGGCCCTATGTGTTAAACATAGGTATGTAACTGGTACTGTCACTTGTGCTATGGCTATCATCATAGATAATTGGGGATGGGCTCTTTTGACTTGGGCTAGTAAGAAACTGAATAGTAACAGTAACACCCTAGCAACCACACTTTAGCAACCATTCATAACACCCCTTCGCAATGGATTAACAAATACTATAAATTGACATGAAAAACATTGGAACAATGTCCCTCTACCTACATTTTTGCAATGTAAAAATGAACACTAGTGGAGGTAAAACACCAACAACTTTTAGTCCTTTTTTACAAAAATTATGATTACAGGGGCAGGTTTTATTAATAAAGATTTATTTTGTGTGATTCCTTGCATAGTACTACTGTATGTTATGACCTCAAAACACTTTTGTTATAGTGCATGATTCGCAAACTAATACATTTTGACATTTGCGACACCTAAGCAGCTACATATTTATGGATTTTCTGATATAGTAAACTTGGTCGGTGGCTCACAATGGTACATAAAAATGAGTAAAAAAGTTTAATCTTGTTAGAGGGAGTAGGTTCTTTTTAACCTATGCCAGAATACAATAGCTTAACAACCACTCAGAAACACACCTACTGTAGATCATCCTAGAAAATGTGCAGTAATGCCCTGGCGTGCATCCACAACACCATAGCAACTTCATAGCAATGCACACAACATAGACATAAACATCTAGTTGTTGTTTAGCTTTGTGAGCTTTCAATCTCTTAATATCTTCATAATCAGATCTCTTACTACGGTATTTTGCTGGCACAGGACCAGCACAATATGTTGGAAGCAAGAACCAGCCAGCAGTTACAAACAAGCATCTCAGCTGGAAACTGTCCAGTGTGCAAATAAATGAAATTTGGGTGGACAGCTTGGCTAATGCAATTAAAGCGGAGAGGCCACCTCAGTGTCCGAGAACTAGCATCTGGGTACTCACTAGGAGACCGGTGCCAGATCCACACAGCTATAGATCCCCTGCCTCTCTCTCTCTATGCTGACCGTACCCTCCCACTGACTGTACATGTGAATAGACATCAGGCGAGTGTAGCAACCGGCTTACGGCTCCAATCTGCTCCACATAATCCCCAGGTCCCAAAAATATTGATTTCAGTTGGTTATATAACCACATTTGAAAGAATCCATACCTACCAACATTAGTTATAGTTCCTGTGTGCATAGAAAACCCTGTTTAGATTCTCTCTGGATCCTTAGCAGGGGTTTAAGTACTCGAGTAATTGTACTTTGATACTGTACAAGAGCAAATGGAATGCTTATTCAAATGCATTTGCAAAGAAAAAAAAGGCCCTTTTTTTACTATCAGAATTATTTTAAAATGTAACAATTTCAGGTTACAGGTATCAGTTATAATTCAGTTTAATATTTAAAATTGTTCTAGAGCCTTACATAGTCAGGGCATTGAAAATTTACCCAAACATAAATTATCTCATCATTTACTCCCTTTTTGGGGGCAGTAAGTTTTATTATTATTATTTCTATTTTAATTATTTCAATAATTAAAATAAATAATTATATAATAATTTCAAATAAATAATTTTATGTAATAAAATGTATGTAATTCATGTAATAAAGATAAAAAAAACAGTAAATAACTTGAATTTGTTGTAAACTAATCCATTTGGATTATGTATTAGTTTCAGTTCATACGGATTTATTTTATGAACTCTGTCAACTTTTTGACAAATCAAAGTTTGGTGTAATGGACTTTAAATGGAGGGACAGAAGTCTGGATTTGTTTAGTCGTATGGGGTTCCCTTTCAGTCGAGAACGTCAGACGTAGTTGACGTTGACTGAAATGGGATCACGCTAGGGAGCCTATTGTCTTCGAGAATCTTAGAACGAGCCAATGCACATTGGCGTGCAAGATATGCATCTCACACTCCACCCCGCGGTGCTTTCTGCTTGTGTTTGTTTGTCTGACGGCCGTTTGAGGGCGGAGAAAGTGAGTGCTTCACTGATGCAGGCTGCACAATTCCTGTATCAGTGTTGCCGTGGTCATTCCCCTGTGTGCTCCGGCACTGGTGAGAGTTTTTCACTTCCTGAAAGAGCAACACGGGTGCGTTTGCGTCTTTTTCAAGGTGTCATTCCACCCGTGCGTTTCTGGATGCGGTCGTTCCCTGTTTCTCTTTGACTGTCACAATTGTTGCATCACGTGTTTGGGCTTACAGCATGCTGAAGCAGCTTTTGTGGACAGTTCATGTTTCCATTGCGGGAATATGACTGTCGCGGTGTTGAGATCAAGACTCGCCTTCGTCTGCGAAGCGCGAGTCCCCATTACCCTGCCCCGCCCTCGGGTGCCGCATAAGATGGGTGATAGGAGGATAGTGATGGATGTCTCACCCGGTAACCATTCCCTGTGGGCTCCTCACTCCTCCATCACACTGCAGCCGATGGAATTCCTGTTGAACGTGCTGGTCCGTCTGTAATGGACCGATCAGCCATTTCAATTGGGGTTCCCCTAGAGGATAAGATGAAGATAGCAGCATCGGAGGGTGAGCTGGCCTCTGGAGATGACGACTCGGCTATGTTATCTCCCTCTGGGAGTGTAACATTGCCCGAGCCAGATCCAGAAATGTCAGCTATGCTCAAACGGGCCGCTGAGGCTGCTGGGCTCGAGTGGAACCCTCCACCGTGTCCCGTTCAGTCTCGGTTGGAGGATTGGTATCTCGGGGCGGGCCGCGCTGGTTCTCAGCTCGCCGCCCCAGTACCTTTCTTTCCCGAAGTGCATGGAGAGCTTACCAGGTTGTGGACAGCACCTTTCTCTGCCAGAAACTGCCTGAATAGCTTTTCCCTCTCGCTACCCTTGAGGGAGGAGCGGTGAGGGGTTATGAGGCTGTCCCTCCGGTGGAGCGGTCTGTCGCGACCTCTGCATGGGCATTCGTGCATTGAGTTGTTGCAGTCCACCTCGCTTTGAGCCACCGCTGCTAAGCGAGCTGGTACTGGTCTGAAAAGACAACATCGCGACCGTTGCGCTAAGCTTCCCTCGCATGTCACGACTCACCCGTTACCTTCTCCTTGGAGTCAGAAGCTTCTGAGGTCGCTTCTCCCACTATGTCTTCCGATCTGCTCATTCGTGCCGCCAACTAGACTCACGACAGCTATGGCCAGCGAGAATGGAGACTCCATCCCCTGGCGCTGGCCTCCAGCTGGCCCGGAGGCTCTGCAGAAATGCGTTCCCTGGTGAGCCTTCTAAGAAAGCGGCTATGCGGTTCATTATCGCTGTGCGCAGGCTCAAGTTCAGTGATTTTCGTCACAGTCACGTGTTGAGCAGAAATGCTCCTGAAGCTCAGTGAATTATCACACTTAGGTGTTGAGCAGAGATGCTCCTGAGCTCAGTGATCTTTACATGTAGTGTTGAGCAGTGCTCCTGTCTTGTGCGTGCATGTCGCTTGCACCTACTGTGCTAAAGTCAGGAGTGGAACAGGTCTTGATACCAACTAGACCTAGTTCCCCTCGACAGCCTTCATGACTTGACTTGACAGTCCCCCTGAGTACATTTCAGGGACGGGGCATGATGGCACCCGTGTTCAACCCCTGGAGAGATTCCAGGCCGGTCCTAACTGGACGCAGAGGTTCAGGTGGCTACCGCAGGAATATGTGGTAGTTACCATCACTTCG